GTTGGTTTAAAACAAAACAAAACCAAAAACTACAAAAAGAAAAAAGGGCTGGAATAATCAAAGCAGCATCTAAAATCCTCCTTTGATGAAGATCTTCCCAACTGAGAGTTTCTAAGAGAAGAGATTTTATATCAAAATGCTTTCTGGGGAAAGCACTTTTAAAAATTTTGCTTATGGTTCTTTAAATACACACGCATATTCTTTTACAGAGAATGGAGACTTTCTGGCACTTGACCTTGGAGGGACAAACTTTAGAGTTTTGCTGGTGAAAATCCGCAGCGGTAAAAGGAGAACAGTTGAGATGCACAACAAGATCTATGCCATTCCTATAGAGGTGATGCAGGGAACAGGAGAAGAGGTGGGTATTTGTGTTTCTCTTTGGCAGCACTGCTACTTTTTAAATACCTTCTTAAGAGCGTGTAACATGTACAACTTCAAATGCATGACTTTTCTCTTTAAAGCTGTTTGATCACATCGTTACCTGCATTTCTGACTTCCTGGATTATATGGGGATAAAAGGCGCACGTCTTCCTCTTGGCTTCACGTTTTCCTTCCCTTGCAAGCAGACCAGTCTGGATGCTGTAAGTTCCTTAGTATTTTTTGAATCTGCTTTTGGGCTTATGCTAGCCCTGATTTCTCTACCTTCGTATCATCTATGTGACACTTACAGGGAGGTTGTACAAGGGGAGGGTTCATGCTCTGACCCTGACCAGTACAGCTGCTCCTATAAATAATTCCTTTAAAGGTAGTAATGCAAATGCTGCTCAGGCCATGGCTGTGACAGATAAGAGCATTTAAATTTTCCATGATGGCGATATCTCTTTTTTAAGGCATCATGTTTTTTCCAATCGTATAAACCTGCGAGACTGTGGTACTTCCCGAGTTTTGTGAGCAGTAAGCAAAAGTCCATCCCTGCTGCCAGCTCCTGTTCCCCAGCTGATGTGGTTTCCCCGGATGGAGCGGATGGACCAGGGCCCGCTCGGCTATGTCACCCTGCGGGTGACAGTGTAGCCTGCAGCGTGTCCCTGTCTAGCGTACCCTTTTTCTCTTTGCTTTCATGTTTAACTTCTTCACTGCCACATACTTCCACCAACTCCACCTGTGCAGCTGTTAATAGTTTCCTGTCTACTTAGCACTTTTTTTGAAGAAAGACATACTTTCTGTCACAGGTTTTTTTTTTTTTTTGAGTTTGTTGTTTCTGTCACACTTTTTTTTTTTTGAGTTTGTTGCATTGCTCTGGAAATTTGGAGACCAAGCATGATTAGTAGTTTTAGATGCAATTTCACATATATAAAGAAATATTCCTTTTCATAGAGACTCTTCTGTATAACCTCACACTAAAGCATTTGAAATGTCAAGTGTACAGAATAACATTTGAGTCTTAGCGAAAATAAGATGAGTATTCATATGTAAGGAAGGAGGAAATAGGCAGTGATGTTAGGAGCAGCATTCAAATGTCCAGCTCTAAAATGCTGTCATCTTGCTGATGATAGGAGGCTTGGTCAAGCCAGGGAGACTTTGGAGTGTGACTGAGAGAGAAGACAGGTTGTTCAGCAAAACGTAGCACCCATCTTGGTGAATACTGGAGAACCTTCTCCTTGAGCTGAGGGCTTCTATGAGACCATGTACCAACTGGCCGTAAATATTCATGGCAATTTGCTGGGACCGTGGGGTTGGAGCTGCGGTGTGCGATAATCTGCGGTCACCTGCGTGAAGCGTTGTGATTTTGTGCTTTTACGGGCTGGGGAGGTGAGCAAATGCAGGGAAGTTATCAGATAGAAATGCCCAGTGATCGTCCCTTAGAGGATTGTAGGATTTTTGGGGCAATCTGTAGTGCACCAGGAAACTTGATAACCTGTTTTCTTTCTTTTTAGGGTATCCTTCTCAACTGGACAAAAGGCTTCAAAGCTACAGACTGCGAGGGAGAAGATGTGGTGTATTTGCTAAGAGAAGGAATTAAAAGAAGAGAGGTGATTCTTCCTTTTGTTTTTCGTTTTCTTTTTCTCCTCCTACTTCTTCTTCCCCTGCAGACTTGCCAGACCTCGTGGGCCAGGCTGGTTTCCTCGCGCAGGGTTTGTGTGCCTCCTGTCCTGCACAGAAGGTGTTTGCCTTGCAGCAGCCCCCGACGCCGTGTGGCTGCGCTGGCTCTGATGCTGACATGTAGCCTGACCACCACGTAGGATGGTCTAGAGGGTGTGCAGTGGAAACGGGAGAGTTCAGCCACCAAACCAAAATTGCTACTCAAAATGAGCCACACTGGGGATTTTGTTTCATTGCTTGTTTTTTTTCCCCAAAGACTTCTAACTTGCTAAATTTGGTAGAAGGCTTCTTTCAAACCCTGTGGCAATTTTCACTGCATCAGAGCATGGAGAAGGCAAGAGTTTTCAATGTAGTGACTGCAGGAATCCACCTCAGTGCACGCTGTATGACAGTGTTCCCCCCTCCCAACTCTTGTTCTTGAAAAAGCCTCAAGCAGCTTAGCTGAATCTTTCTAGGAAGGGAAGAAAAACAGCCTGAGGGAGAGCATTAATTTTAGCAGAGTTTTATCAGCAAGTGAAAAGAGGATCTTAAAAACCTTTGCTGCTGGATTTGCTACTGCACTGCTGTAATATAGAATGGTGATAGCCCTCTACCATGTGCCTATATACAAGATCTGTACTTAAATATATCTAAGCCAAAGAGAACAGCCAGGAATACACTTTCTTCTGAAGACATAGTCTATTGTAGGTAGAGCATGCGAGGAGCCTTAGCTACCTGCTAGTAGATTAAGTTCCTATTTCTGCATGTGTAAAATCAGGCTGGTACTTTCAGTTGTTTGTTTCCAGTGTACTTTGACAGAGTTCCCAATGATGTACTCCTTTTCTGTCCTCTTTGGTGTGAGGGGTTGCCCCAAACCCAGAGTTCTCACTGTTTTATTTCTCTGTTCCGAAGGAGTTTGACTTGGATGTGGTGGCTGTGGTGAATGATACAGTGGGCACAATGATGACTTGTGCCTATGAAGACCCAAACTGTGAAATCGGGCTCATTGTGGGTATGTGTTAGAGCTGCTTTTTATTTGGCACTTTTTTATTAAACAGCACGTCGACACATCTGTCTGTATTCTCGTGGAGGCATCCCTGTGGTTAACTGAAAATATAGCTAGGGTGCCCAGGAGTGAAAGATTTTGAGATGAACAGCTGTCCCTTCAGAAGCAGGCTGCGTGAAGGAATTAAGAGCAAAATTCAACAGCCAGCTTAGTTCTGTGCACGATCAGTTGAGATAGGCCCAGGCTGTAATGCTGAACAAATCCTGCCTGTTTTAACTGGGAAGGCACTGTGCTGCTTGGGAAGCGAGCAAACGTGGGCTCAGGTAGCCTCACCAGCTCCTGGAGTATCTGTTAGTTTAGCCTGCCAAACTGTTCAGGTAGCCCACAGCTTCCCTTGAGCATGTGGTCTCTCAGAATAAACTTGTAAAGCACACCCACAATTCCCAAATGGCATATGATGGAAAGCTCTGATAGACAAAGTGCAGCGACTGACGGCTCCCTTTCCAGCAGTGAGACAGCTGAAATAATTCCACAGGTGACTGCCGATGCCTTTGCAAATGCCACGCTTGGGGTGCCTGTGGCACAAGGTGGTGTGAATTCCCAAAGCTCTCCAGAGAAATGAGTTTTCAGTGGGAGAGAAGGGGACGAGGCACCTGCAAGCTTTAAGAACGCTTTCAGTCGCGAGGTGCCTTGTAGGAAAATAAAACGCCACCGATTTCTCCTCCAGACAGTTGGAAAATGTCCAGGATGAGTCAGCACAGTAGTGTGTGGGTAGGAAACCGTGTCTGCGCAGCTCCGTTGGTGGCATGTTTTCCAGGACAGAGTTTCCCTGCGGGAAGGACAGCGTGTCCTTGGGGTGCTGAGAGCATCCTCTGAGGACCGTCTGCTGCCAGATACGCTCTCCAGCCAGCGTGTTGGTGTGCAGAGCAGAGGGTTGGAGGTGGCCTGGGTACATCTGGGATAATGAGAGCAAAAGCCCTGGGGCTCTGACAGCTCCTTCTGCGCTGCCTGAATTGCCTTGGCCAGACTGACGGCGCTCGCCGAGGAGCCTGCATGAGCCGGCAGTCGCCCTGCTCTCCCCAGTGCAGGGAGGTGGGTGAACTTTCCCGCTGTTGCTTGGCAGGGAAAAATATTCTTGCAAGGGCAAGTTCACGTCACGCTGGTGCCCTGTCTCTGCCCAGTGCCACCTCTCCTGCCCAGGAGAGCCGATGCTTTGAGTCTCTGCTGCTGAATACTTCGGAAACAGCCACTGATGAGACCAGGTCTCTGCTTTTCATCTGCTGGCAACTGGAGGTCATCTAAAAGCCTGTCAGTCTAACAGCCCGTGTTTAATAGGTATCCACATATTCAGGCAGCCCTTACTTAGCTCATTCTGGATGACGAGACTTGGCGTTGGGAGGTTGGCCAGTGCTGATGGTCCACAACTGGGTTTGGTCTAGTTTGGTCCTGCAAACCTGGGTCTCAGTCTGCAAGCCCAGACTTTCCCCCCCAAACCCTGTGCTGTGTCTCAGCTCTCCTGCAGCAGGGAAGTACTGTGGGAGAATCTATTTTTGCTCAGGCTTTATTGATATAGTACCCTAAAAAATCGCAAAGGAAAACAGACTTGCTGATGTAATTGGTGCATAATCTGTGATGCAGGGTTAAATGAGTGTTTGGTAGGCAACTTCAAGAAAACTTTTGCCCCAGGTAGGGGCAAAAGCTATCCTCTCTTTGCTAATAAAGCTTTGCTCCATAAGGCCTCTGTGTACATGGAGCGCTTTGTAACTGCCACGCTCCTTAGGATCCCCTTTAAGCAGAATCAGATATGGCATCATTTCAACATGGAAGTAACCTTCCTGCCAGAGAAACTATTTAAGCAATTTGAATCAGAAAAAGAGCAAGCAAGAACTAAAAAATACCCTGGAATTAGCTGGTAAAACCCCTGGGGTTTTCTTTTCCTGATGCCTCAGAACTTGCTGAGGTTTTCAGTTTGGCAAATTTTCCCCTGAATTTTGTGGGTCCATGGGCTTTGTGGAAGGTGGTTCCTAACTTCAAAATCCAGCTGGTTGCTTGCTGCGGTTTTGGGTTCAGGAGCACGTGAGGGTTGGTGTGCCAAAAGTGCCGCACTGCTGCTCCTCCCTGTAGCATGGGACCCTCAGCCCAGCTGGCCTGGGTGAGCCTCTTCTTCCCGGAGCCACCCTGAGCGCTGCACCACTGAAGTAATATTCTCCCTCAATTCAGGATTATTGAAGAGTGGGGTTTTTTTGTGACATTTCAAATGATGATTTGACTTCATCATTCAGAAAAAGCACATTCAAGATCCCCCAGCAGGTTTTGTCAGGGCTGTCGTGCTTGTTCTAGTGTTGTTTTGTTCCAAACAAAAGAGTAATTTCAGTGTTTTCTTCTTTCAGGAACTGGCAGCAATGCCTGTTACATGGAAGAGATGAGAAACATAGAGATGGTGGACGGTGAGCAAGGACGGATGTGCGTGAACACGGAGTGGGGAGCGTTCGGGGATAATGGATGCCTGGACGATATCAGGACAATATATGACAAAGCGGTTGATGACTATTCACTAAATGCTGGAAAGCAAAGGTACTGCGGGATAAATGGTGCGCTAAGTATAAGCCAGGCTGCCTTAAATGCTTTTAAGAGAGAATTGGATTTCTCGCAGTTGGAGAAGGGAGAGGTTAAGAGTCAAAAATGACTGCAGCCCTGCTATCCTGTGGGATCTCCCTCTTCTGTGCTTTTCCGGATCGCTGCTTTTTTGCAGCTTATTTGCTGCCATGGGACTGCAGCAGGGTTTTTGGTGAGAACTTCAACAGTCTTGAAATTACTAAGAGACCCTTTTTCTCATCCTGTGTTGTACTGGGGGGGTTAAGATGGCCTGTCATTCTTTTGCTCTTGGTCTCAGTTTAATCTCTTTTAGAGAGAGAACTCTCTTTGTAGAGGGCTCTACCTCTAGAAATCCTCAGCCTAGACCAGCCAGCATGGTTGGAGCTTAGAGCTGCTCGCTGTAAAGCATTCGGGAGCTTTCTAGCAATTGCAGCCAGCTCTTATTTCAGGCAATTTTCTGGATGAAATATGTCATGTTAGAGGACCTGCCTTTCTTGGCCCCGGAGGTTGGATCCTATTTTGGGGGTCCAGCTCTTGTTTGGGCAAGTGCTTCCCTGCTCCCTTCAAGAAAGGGCTGACAAGGAGGTGTACCCAGCACCGATAAAACTGGGCTGAGACTGCTGCATGCCCAGACTACAATTTTTTGTAATTAATTTCTCTGCAGCAATGCTTCGATGCCAGGAGCTTTTAAAAAGATTTTGTGGCTAGAGTAAATCTGCCTGAAAACCTGGGGGATGCGGACAAGTTGGCAGGTCCCTTGGGAAGCCTTTTAGAAGTTAGGGCTTAAACAGACCCAGAGAGGCAGACACTGAGTGAGCCTGATGCAGTGGCAGAGTTGGCGTGGAGCGAGTAGCCAAAGGCAGCAGCAGAGACTGCCAGGGGGAGTAATTTATTCCAGAGAGAGTTAGGCACTCAAGAGGGAGGACGCTTGCTGGGTACAAGCCTGAGAGAGCTCATAGCATTAAATGGACTGCATGGCCTGCTTCCAGCAGGATGGCGCGCTGGGCTCCGCTCAGTCCAGGGCAGAAACCCTGCTTTAGAGCTTCAGGAGGTGGAAATAAAGGATGCATCATTGAATGCACTTTTCAATAAATGGAAAAGTGTTCAGTTCTCATTGGTAAGGGCACAGCTCACGGATCCCAAAATGATCCATTCAAACCAGAACGATGCTGGAGAGGAAGGAGTGCAAAGCAGACTCCTGCCATCCTCAGCACAGGGCTGCCCTGTACCGGTGCCGAGCATTGCTCAGGGACCACTCCTTGTCGTGTGCCGGGAAGAGGTCTGCAGGTGGAAGATATTCCCTCTCTCTAGCCTTGGGGGAAGGCCTGCAAGTGGGAAACTCGGATCCTGTGTGCAAAGTAAGGGCCAAGAGGGGTTCAAGATGGCTTGGTTCCTCCCTGTGGTTTTTTGACTACTGGTTCCCTACTGGAAATGAGGTGCTGGAATTAACTGAAAAGCATAAACCAACCCTGGACCCCCATCTTGCTAGTTTACAGGTCAGTGATCTTGTGAACATGCTGGACATACATTTTCACATCTTTTATCTTTCACAGGGTTTTGCAGCACAGGACTCCCTTAAAAACGCTGCACTCGCAGTGACTTGTGGTTTTCCTGTAATTTGCTGCATGGAGCCAAAAGCTTTTTCTGTTGAAGGTCTCAGACATGATTCTAGAGGGCTCCCAAATGTTGTGCAGTGGAGACAAGTTTTCCTTGGGGTCCACTCAGGGCTGTCACTGGGGGATGCACGGCAAATTTGGCTTTCATCTGGGCACTGTTCTGCTCTCTGGCAACAGGTTTTCATTTCTTCCATCTGGGAGAAATACCAGCCGTCATTAAAAACAGCCTGGCTGGGGGAACATGGTAGTGAGGAATAGATGAAGTGTGTGTAGATGGGCTCACAAGGCTTCCCACTGAGTCTTCATGCTTTTTCTTGCCCAGTTTTTCTAGTAAATGGCCATTCTGTGTAATTTGAGTTGCATATTTCATGTCCCCAATGCGCGCAGGCAGGACACCTTGCTGATAACGCAGCTGCGATGCTGCCTTTGCAAATGTGAGCAGCATCCCTCTGAGCTGTGCCGCTGTCTTTCATTGCAGGTATGAGAAGATGATCAGTGGGATGTACCTGGGGGAAATAGTCCGCAATATTTTGATCGACTTCACCAAACGGGGGTTCCTGTTCAGAGGCCAGATTTCAGAGACACTGAAGACCAGACATATCTTTGAAACCAAGTTCCTTTCTCAGATTGAGAGGTAAGAGCACTGCACCAGAGGCTATTTAGGGTGAAACAGTGTGGTAACGCTCATCCGGTGACACTGCTGGAGCGGAGGGACAGCTGGAGAGCATTGCTTGGTTCTCCAGAGATAATTTTGGTTTCAGTAAGAGCCTGCGCATGCGCAGAAGGACTCTTTGCAACATCATCTGAATTTCTAGCAATGCTTACTGCTAAATCATGGGAATGGCTGTCAAGGATTCCCTTACTGTATTGTTTTATTTGCTTGCTTGGAAATCAAGACATTTTCCTGTGCCCCTTGTGTGTGTGTAGCTATAATTGTTGAACTGAATGAACGCTAGCTCAATGAGCACTTCTTTACTGGATATTTTTGTGTCTTTATTGCTTGGACTCTGTATTTTAAAGTAATCTCAAAGCCTGTTGAGTCTTTATGGGTCGGGGGGGAACCCCAAGTTGGTCATTAAAGATATTCTCCTGAAATGCCCTTTGGTAAGAAAAGAGAAGGGGAGACAAAGCAGAGCTGGACTCAGAGCCTCCCTTGCTGCCTGCGCCCCTCTCCTGCACTGCAGCGTGGTGCTGGGGTGAATGAATTTGCGTTCCCCAAGGTCTCTTGCGCTGGCAGGAAAGGCTGCTGCCTGGTGTGGGTGCATGGATGCAGCCGTCGATGCAGTGGGGTTTGTGGCAGTGGCTTGACTGAGCTTTAATTTAACACTGTGCTCATCTGCTTCTGCAGTGACAGGTTAGCCTTGCTGCAGGTGCGAGCCATCCTCCAGCAGCTGGGGCTCAACAGCACCTGCGACGACAGTATTATTGTCAAGACCGTGTGCGGAGCGGTGTCAAGGCGAGCAGCTCAGTTGTGCGGCGCTGGAATGGCTGCGGTTGTAGATAAAATTAGGGAGAACAGAGGATTAGAGCACCTGGAAATAACGGTTGGTGTGGATGGGACTCTGTACAAACTGCATCCACAGTGAGTATTCACCTTCTCAGCGTTTGTTTGCCTGTGATCTGTAGCGCGTTGCTTATACGTCCTTTCTCTTGATGCACCAGACTGGTCTCTCTTACTTGCTAGGGTAAGAAGCAGGGAAAAGAAGTCTTAATCAGGGGTGGTCAGGGCTTTCTAAAGGGCAACGAGAGGATCAAGAAGGACTTGTGAAGGATTCTTGGGGCGGTGACAAACCGCAGGGGATGCAGCTTGCCGAACAAGTTGGAAGCTGCACAGCAAAGGAAGGATCTCTTGGCTATGCAAAGGCAATGATGGAGCAGTGCTGAAATGCCTGGTGCCCCTTTGGAGGATGTTTCTGTTCAGTGTGCAGAGGAGATGGGCTGCTGTGAAGCAATGGCAGGCGAGGGCAGGAGTCTAAAAGAGCTGGTGGCAGGTGGCAGGAGGAGGAGAGGACTAGTGCCCATCTCTGGTGTGCATGGAGGGACTTGGGTGGGAATGAGACAACTGTACGTGGTCTCTTCTCTCCCCTTTGCTGTGGTGGTAGCAATATGGGTTAACTCCGCGCAGACAGAGAGGCAGGGGTGGGATGCAAGTGCTTTTTTCCTTTAACTCCCACTGCTCCCAGTCTTCAAATCCACCCTAGTTTCCAGCATTTTAGTTCTTTCCCCGGTGAAAGGGGGAGCACTGCAAAGGCCTGTGGCAGTGCTACGCTCTGCAGATGCTGCGGGACCTCCCTCACCCACTGCCGTTGTTTCCTTTCGCAGCTTTTCGAGGATCATGCACCAAACAGTCAAAGACCTGGCACCCAACTGCGACGTGACCTTCCTGCTGTCAGAGGACGGCAGCGGGAAAGGGGCAGCGCTCATCACAGCGGTGGGATGCAGGCTTCGCGATGCCGAGCAGAACTGAACTCCACAATCCCGTCCCCGATTCTGTCTTGTGAGCACTTTCTCATAAAGCAGCGACTGCATAGTCAGAACTGGTAAAAACCCAGAACTCACTGCTTTATCGGGGAAAAAAAATACAACTAATGACATAAAAAATAGGATACAAGATAGAATGTGTGCTGTTAATAATATCTCCTGTTTCTGGACCCCAATCTGCATGTTTCTTATTCACCTTGTTGGTACCTTCCCCATCTGTAGGTCATGGAAAAATCAGTCTATAATTTCTGCAGCTGTCAAAAATCAGTTGTTGTCCGAGACGAAATTGCCCCCAAGTGATGTGCGTTGAGAGCTACCGTTGCATCGTACCAAATGTGTTCTTTGCAGCATCCCTGTTAAGCGCACTGCCAGCACACTGACCACCAGACCTGGGTGTTGATGCTTTTAGCGAAGGGGAAGCAACAGTTCCCTCCTGCATATCTACCTGCTGTTGTTTCGTATAAAGCGATTGTGAAAACATTATGGTGTGTCAGCACTGTGCACGCACGTAACTCTATAGTGGGACTTGACAATGCGACTTACTTGCTTCCTTGATGCCTGTTTTGTCATGGTAAAAGTAAACGCCTTTGTCCCACAGATCTGGTTCCACTGGTATTTCCCATTGCTTCTGTGAAAAGTGTTGTGTTACTGGGCGAAGTCTGTCACGTTTCGGCAAGAAATCCCTAAAGAGTAAAACAAAGTGGTTGGTGATTGGGGTAATCCAAATCTCCAGACCCGGGAAATCGGTAGATTTATGGTCCCTAGGCAGGCTGTGCTGTATTCTTCTTTTTAAGAGTACTTATTAAAAATATTTTCTATCTCTTCTTGTTAGTCTAGATCAGGGCACTGCAGCTGCCCTTCTACCGAATCTGCAGCTAGACAGCGTCACTCGGATGTGTATACTTCTGTATCTTGCCTTAAATGGGTATTTGCTTCCACACAAAGCTTTAATCTTTAATACTGTTAAGCAGCCACTCAAAACACAAACACTCAGCTAGCGTCAGTGATCAGAAAGGAATATGAGGGTTTGATTTTGATCTTGCCTTTGAGGACCCGGCTGCATAAACTAAACAAACCACAAAGCCAAAATCGGACCCAGCTCATTCCAAGGACTAAAGCAACAACAAAGATCATATACACTTGGTGTATTCTGTCCTCTGTCGAGTCGGTGCCATTATTATATTTGCATACCAGTTGCATTGCTTAAATTGAGAAGCAGTTAGGAAGGCAAACGTTGAATAACATTTGGAAGTCACGCCGCTTTCTGCAAAGAGGGAGACCACACAGTAAGTAGTCCTTAATTCCCGTTCTTCTACCAAAAATGAATTTGAGATGTCTGCATGGTTTTCCCTGCTGCCTTTTCCTGCAGAAAGTAGATGGAAATTTGCAGGCTACTCTTCTTTGTCCTCGTTCCACTCCCCTAAGATTTGGATTGCCCTACCTATCGATAACATTTCAATATGCATTATGGTGCACTGTGAGTGAATGTTGTAAAGTAACATGTGAGTCACAAACAGTCATTACAGCTTTAAGTGTGTGTCTACCTGAAAAATTGCATGCCTAACTGGTTTTGCAAAGGTAGAGAGTCTTTTTACTTTGCACACTAGTAGCTCCGATACTAGTGTTACGTGATACTTGTGAAAATATTAAACTTTTTTTGATGTGCGTTAACTGGTGTTTAGTGGTTCTTTCTGGAAGAGGTGCTGTTGGCTGGTGGCTTAGTGCTTTGGGAAGAGCTATTGTGTAGGGAGAGCTGCAACCTAATCCCAGTGGTGCCTGCGTTTTGTATGTGTGTTTTTATTCCCGGGCATTCGGGGTCAGATTCAAACAGGGTGGATTTCACCCAGGTCCCCATGCCTCGTGTTTCCTAACGTAGTTCAGCAGAGGCACAGAGCTGACAGCACCCAAATCTTAGGGCGCATGTAGTTTGTCTGGGTGCATCTCGTGCCCTGTCTCGTGCAGGGGGATCTGCAGTGCAGGAAAACCTCAGCCCACTGCATCAAAGCCAATGTGATTGTATTAGGCTTTGCCAGATACACAGCGATGGATACGTTACAGTCACTGCGTCCCTGCAGAAGTATGATGCACGTCAGAGTCCGTAACCTCCCTGTGTGCATAGGGTTAACGTTTGCAGAATCGCAGCGTCAGGTGCTCATACACCAGTATGATTTGCACATCCTGTGTTGGAGTTGTATATGAAAGCTCCTTTTGCATACACTAAAGTTGTGCTTCTCCGATAACCCATCTTACGTTATAGCTTGAATAGTCTCTGACACCCTTGATGTGCAGCTATGACCCCAAATAGGAGACAGAAGAAGGTGAGAAAGTTTTTGGGCACAGGGGACACATTGCATTTTAATTGCTTGAAGATTTGCAAATCTTATGCCTGCCGTCGGCAGTGCTGTAGGGGTGGTGTGAGCCGTGCCCGGGGACCTGGGTTCGGAGCTCTTCAGCATCTGAGGGCTAGGCTCAGTGCAGGATAGAGGATGAATGAGAAGTGGAAGTTAAACTTGGTCTCAGGGTGACTGTGAATTTTGGAGATGCTGGCATAGGTCGTTTTGTTTATTGGATCCAGCTCATAACAAATAGGGAGTGAGTTTGTGTTTCTAACAGCGCAACTTTTCCTACTGTGGACCATAGGTGATGTACTCGATAAGACACGGCAGTTCTTTTCCAAAGGGAGATCTGGTGGGATTTCCATTTCCGGACTACTTCTTACCCCTAGGAAACTGTTCCAAGTGAATCACAAGCTATAACTGTCTGAAGAAATGTCTCCAATGTTATCCAAGCAATGACTGAGATGTCTGACTTAAAGCTTTTAGGCTTGGTGAATAAAATCATAGTCCTCTTAATTGTTAAGCTGTAATTACTGCAATATGAACACAAAAATCTTATATTTCCTGGGGAAAAGACCATTTGCATACCACTGTTGTAATGTCATCCACTCCTTACTCCTCTGGAGGTTCTCTCAGAAGCCTTTTGAATGGGTTTTAAAACAAGCAGACTTTGTTTTGTTTTGTTTTCTTAAGAAAATAGCAGAAGGCAAAATAAAGTGTTTCTGAACTTCTGAACCCCGTTCTGTGCTTTTTGTTCGTTCCTTTGCCATAAAAATGAGATTCTTTAAATGTTTTTCTTTACTGACTGCAGGGTCTCCATTGCTGCTTAGAGCGCGAGTAACTGTACAGAGGAGGGATTTATTGCTGACCTGGAGGTGTTTTACTGCTGCGTGGTATTTAATCATGTCTATATTTATATGAAGAATTGCATGTATTTGCTATGGAGTGTGGTGTTCCTGTTACTTCATATATCACAGGAAATAATGTAATCTGCCTTGGCATGCCTTTTCTCCCAGTATCTAACGAGGGCTCAGAGCGTCTCTGCTTTCTTAACTGTTGCTGTTTCTAGCGGAGAAACATCTCGGGATCTGCAGTGTGAGTCCTTCAGGGCACGGGGAGTTTCGCGTGCAACCTGAAGAAATCATCCTCTGCTTTCTGCGCCCGAACAAGAGAGAGAGATGCCATGAGCTGTCAGAAAACGTTGGTGCCTGTCAGGGACTGCCCAGGGGAGACAGTGCCAGCACGTGTGTGGCACTTGGGCATCTGGAATAGGCTCTGGCCAGCTGCTAAGATGTGATGGAAGATGGAGGGGAAGATGGGATGCTCAAGGTCTAAAAAGACCTGCATTAGAAATCTGCAGGGTTTAAAGGCCTTACAATTACATGGGAGAGGGAGCTTATGGGAGCTGGGCATGGGAGAGGTACAGCTTATGTATACAAAATAGTGAACTCTGTGTAGGTGTCCTTCAGTTCCTCAGAGCAAGAGTCTTTGCAACCTCTAGTCTGATCCCAGAGATGTGTGCCTTGCAGAGCGTCCCTCCCAAATTGTTTTGAATCCCTTCAGAAGAAAGACTTGGTGGTGGCTGTCTGTAGATGCCTGTTACTGCTCTCCCTCTGCCCCGCACGCACCCCAGCAGTGCAGTCTCGGGAAGAGCAGGCTGGGCAGTTAAGGGGGCTGGACAGGTAACATCTAGACTAAAAACTACTGCTGGAATGATTTAAAATAATCAACTTTTTAAGAAGGGCATACAGCCCTGTGCTCTGTTGTCCAATTAGCGAGACAAGTTTGTTGGGCCTCTGTGTAACATAATTGTTCCCCACAGCAGCCAGGGAGGTGAAGAAGATGAAGTGGAGAAGGAAGATGTATCTGCTGGCTCCTGTATTGGAACAGACTTGGGAAAATCATATCCCTGAGTACTCTGTCAGTTCAAGCCACGAATCTTTTCTCCGAATTTACTGCAGAAGTCAAGCCTGGCAACACTTTGTAGTTTTGCTTTCACAGAGCAAAGAGGAGTATTTTAAATAACTGGATCTTGTCGACATTGTAGGAGCTTTTTGTGTGCTAAGATATGGCTCTGTGATGTTATATACAAACCTGTCATGAAAGGGGAAGGCGATTGTGATGTGCTACTTACCACACCAGTATTAAATGCTGTATTACTTTATATAAAATGTTTATATTTCAGCTTCCTCTGTTTTGTATGCCTGCACATAATGCCTCAGGCTTTGAAGACGACATATTTCAGCCTTTATTTTCGTATCTGAGAAGAGAAGAACAGTGATGATAAAAATGGGGTAAGTCTGGAAAGGGAAGATGAAGGGACTATCTGGGAACAGACAGCGATGGGTCAGACTGCGGTTAGGACTAAGAGGAGGTAAAGGAGGTGGATTCAGTTTGGATCTATGAGCCCTGACCAAGCCAGTGAGCATCCCACACCTGGCTACTGGCTCTTCAGAGAGCCTCGCTCTCCACATTAGGCACCGCAGTAACTGTGAAGTTGGAGGAATCACTTGGGCACAGTTTAATAGGAAAATGACATTGTATTTTGGTACAAGGTTATAGAAATCCATGCAATGACAACATCTTAAGGAACTGCTTCTCGCTTTTAACTGATGAGAGATAGTGCTGGTGAAATTGCAGGCATGAAAATCCCAGAATTCAGAAAATCTGCAGGGCAGGCTTTTCAGTCGGGATGTGTTAGTATATTTGCCTTTGTCGTAAACAA